GTCAGGTCATGGAGGTGGGCAGGGGGCTGGAGGGGGGTTACAGAGATAGGGAGGGGGTTGTAGGGGCTGGAGGGGGTGACAGAGATAGGGAGGGGGGTGTAGGGGCTGGAGGAAATGACAGAGGTAGTGGGGACAGGGGTTAATGATGGGCGTACCCAGGGAGAGTTTTACACGGGGGCCTGTACCTGTGTCTTAGTGACGTTGATGAGGATTTTATCCTTGTAGAGATGAACCTCGGAGTTCGCCAGAGCCACCAACACTGCCTGGAAGCCCTTGGCTTTGTGATCCATCAGACTCATGGTTGTGATCGGAGCTGGGAGCCGGATTGTCCACAATTTCTTCCCCTGGACAAGACCAGGACACATGAAGTAGGCCACACAGCTCACTCTACCATTCAGCTTGATCATGGCTGATCTCCATCTCCCTCTGCACCATCCCTCCTGATCTTTAAAATCTAGAAACCTCTCCATCTCCGACTTGAACATTCTCATTGTCTGAGCCTCTGTTGCCCTCTGAGTTCGAGAACCCGCACCCTCTGAATAAAGAAATTTCTCCTGCTTATCCTGAGACTGAATTCCAGCCCCCACCCCTTTTCCCCACCCCCCCCCCCTTCCACAGCAAGGAGAGGCAACCCCCTTCCCCTACCACCCCCAACCCAATACAAGGTTAAGAACTTTATATTCATCAATCAGATCACGTCATGTTCTTCCAGACTCCAGAGTAAACCTCACAGGGACAATCCCATCATCCCAGCCACCCGTCTATTGTTAACCCTAACCCTAACCCTAACCCTCTCTAAGACAAATATGTCTCCTTGCATAGATAAGGAGACCAGACCACATACAGTGCTCCAGGTACACTTTCACCTCGGCTCAACATAGCCTCAGTAAGACACCTTTACTCCTGGATGCAGATCCTTGTGTAAAGACACACACCAGCAACCTTCCCAACTCTCTACTGCTTCGACGGGTTAATTTTCAGTGACTCCTGAAGAAAGTCACCCAGCTCGTTTTAACGTTCAACACTGCCCGGCCTCTTACACACGCTAGTTTTGTTTGCTAACATTTGAACTGAATCTTAATAACATCTTTCAGAAATGTACTGGTTTACACTTCCTTATCTATTCTGCTTGTCACCTGCTCAAGGAACTTTAACACAATTCACCGTTTCACACATCCATGTTCACTCAACCACAGGCTACTATTATGGTCCAAGTAACCACTAGGGCCTTCCTTTCTGACACATTCAAGCATTCTCACCGTGATCGATGTGAGGTGAACAGGTCTCTGCAGTTCACATCTTTCTCTCAGCCTCCTTTTTTAAATACACTTCTTCCAACGCTGTCTTTGCAAACTTTTACAGCCATGCCCCAAGACGGCAGATGGAATCTCAGTTTAAAATAACATTGCAAGTGGTAAATCCGACAGTGCGGCGCTCTCTCAGCACTGACCCTCCGACAGTGCGGCGCTCCTCAGCACTGACCCTCCGACAGTGCGGCGCTCCCCCAGCACTGACCCTCCGACAGTGCGGCGCTCCCTCAGCACTGACCCTCCACCAGAATAGAAGGCAGGTTGAAGCGCTGAATGGCCTCGTGTATCACAGAACATTCGGCACATTAGTGCTGATCAGGCAGCGTGACATAAAATCAATTCGATAAAGATCAGGAGACAGGGGATCCCAGTATGCGTGAACTGTTCCCATCATGTGCAATGTTCATTAACCAGCTTTTGGGCCCTGACTCATTAGGCTGTGTCCTTACCTTCTGAGTGTACGCATGCAGCATCTCCTTCCCACAGCCCACCACAATGCTTCTGTTCAGTCGCACGAGGCCAACAGGCTGCGAATTCAGCTCGACACACTGCTTGGGCCGTTTCGAATCTCTGCAAAGGCAACAACACCGTGCGTTTATATAGCAGTGTCAGTGCAGCTAAATGTCCCCGGAACGCTTCCCGGTAGTGTCAGAGTGTCATCTCGAGCACCCCAGAGGATATTCGGGACAGATGATACAGAGCCCAGTCAAAATGGGGCAGTTTTAAACAGCAGCTTAAAGAAGTGGGGAGGGAGGGTTTGGGGGGACATCCCAGAGCTTGGGAGCCCAGATGAAGACATGGAAAGCGATGGAATTTGGGAAATGTATTTGAGATTGAATTGGCAGAGCACAGAAATCAGAAAGAGCTGTCAGGGCCGGAGGGGGTGACAGAGATAGGGAGGGGGTGTAGGG